ATGCTGTAAGGAGGCCCCTAGGAGCCTTGGAGCAGGCTGGGGCATCCCCAGCGAGTCTTGGCGCCAAAATAGCGTCTCAGATCCAGACAAGACTCGAGAAATAACACGATTAGTTGCCGTTTATTGAGCATTTTACCTATCGGGTACTATGCTAAATGCTTTACAAAATGATCTATCTTGGTTAATCTTTACAACAAATAAGAAAACAACAACATGGTGGAAGGAACATTCTCATTTCCAAATGAGGAAGTCTTGGCCTTGAGAATCTGGAGAACTTGTCTGGAGTCACACAGTTAGTAAAAGGCTGAGCGGAAGCGGACCCAGCCTGACTTCACGACTGCCCCTTAATCATTTTGAGTCTTGCCCTGGAGTCCTCTCAGAAGGAGGGAAGAAAATGCAAATGTCTCTGTCTGAATGCTTGCTTTCTTTACTCCTTTCTGCACCCCCCCCCCCACCACTCCCAAGAGGAAAGATTTAAGAAACAAAACAAACACAACAAAACCCCAACCATGTCTCAGAAGCTTGTTGTGTCTGTCTCTTGCTCCTCCTTCCCCACCCTCCATGCTGGAGATAGCAAGACTTTTGTCTGAGTGCTGCGGTGTTCATTTTTGTTGGGAAACTTTCAGCTCTCTTGCCAGTTTAGAAATTAATGGAGATTTCCCTTCAGCTCTGCAGCAGTAGGGTCTCTCCAGCTAACTCTCCTATTTTGGCTCATAGCAACAGAGAAGGGTCGGGGGGTGGCAGGGTTGGAGAGGAGTCCAGGATTTGAGAGCCCAGGGGACAGTGTGGCTTCGCTGGCAAACACCCCTACACGCATACACACACGCCCCACTTCCCCCTGCAACAAGACATCGTCGGGGAATCTGAGCACGTTTCCGGGCCCACTGCCTGCTCTGGTCTTTCAGACTCAGGACCACCTGCTTGGTTGGCCAGCAGTGCCTCCTTGGCGGGAACACTCAGCTGTGTTCACTGTTCTGCTCTAGACAGAGAGGTGCACTGAGTCCGCCCTGCACCCAGGCCCGCCAGTTCCCGGGGGGGGAGGCAAGAGTGGAAAGGGAGCTGAAGGAGCCCCTTGGGGTGGGCAGGGGGTAGGGCTCCTTCCTCCTCTCCCCTGTGCCCAACACCCCTCCCCTGAGCACATTTCTGAGAAGTGGCCTCTTTGTGTCTGCTTGGTTGGAACTTGTCCGCCGTCTTGGGGTCAACTCCTCCCTTTCCCCCAGAGGGAGAAGGAAAACATCAGGAGGAACCGAGGCATGGCATGTGCTTTGGAGTCCTGGCTACTTCTGAAGGACAGCCCCGGGCCTGCAGGACCAAGTGGTCTTGCATTTCACATGGCCAGGGGCCAGCACCCGGGTGGGAATGGAGGCCCCAGCCTCTCCAGAGGCTGCATGAGATCCTGGGTCTGGCTAAAGCCTGAATGGTCCTGCCAAGGAGACCTGACTGGGATGGGTACCAGCACCCCCGGCCATGAGGAGAGGCCCGGTTTCCCTGCTGCCTGAGTCCAGCTTCCATATGCAGGGAAGCAGGCAGGCAGCATTTGCTGCTGGTTCTCACTCAGGGTCCCTGCAGGAGGTTTGCTGTGGGAGCTGGGATTTAACACCTTGCAGGCTGGGAAGCTGCCAGTCCCCAAAGGGTGGAGGCTGTGCAGGCAGGTTTCTTTTTTTGTCTCTCACACCCAACGTATCACTTCCGTAGCCGGGCAGCAGATGGGCGGATGGGGGCGATGGCGTGTGAGGTGTGCAGGAAGGAGGAACGTGCACTTCAGAAAACACGGCTGAGGGTGGGAGTGGGGGGAGATTCAATGTCTCTTTTTCAGGGCAGTGGAAAAATCCTACTGCTTCGAAATGTGAGTGGGACAGAGCTACACTAGAAAGCCCCCAAGACAGTTGAACATACCAGCCAAGACCCAGCACTGGTACTAGACAGATCCAAGTTCAAATCCCGGTTCTGCCACCAACCAGCAGCAGCTAACATTTACTGATGTCTCTGCTTAGGGCTTTCCGCCCATAACCTGATTCAAGTCTCACAAAATCACATGACGTAGGTGCCAGTTTTATTCCCATTTGGTTCCGGTTTCCTGAGGTTCTGAGAGAGGAGGTAACTTGCCCAAAGCCACACAGCCAATGAAGATAAAGCTGAGTCTCAAACCGAGGGCAGTGGGGGCTCTGAAGTCTCCATTCTTAACCAGTACTGTAGAGTTAAAACACTCGCTTGCAGACTTTGACCTCTTGGCCTTCTGGCCTTGAGGAAGTCACCTAACTTCTATCCTCAGTGTTCGGCATCTGGGAAATGGAGAGATGAATGGTGTTCTCCTAGGTTTTTCAAGAGCATTAAATGAGAGGGTGTTTATAAATGTTTCAGCCAGTGCCTGGCCTGTGATAGTATCATTCATTCATTCATTCATTCATTCAACCTATTACACACCTGGCTCCATTCCAGGTGTACAAGCTAGAAAAGGTCCCAGCTCTACTAAAGTGAGTGAGCAGATAAGCTAGATAATTCCAAATAGTGATGTGTGTTATGAGGAAAACAAAAACAGAATAAAGGCAGTTCCTGTAGAGACATGGGGTCTCTTTGAAGCAATGGCATTTGAACTTAATTCGCAAAGAACAGAGATGTGGAAGAAGACAAACCTGCCAGGCTAAGAGCAGTAAGGGCAAGGCCCAGAGTTGGGGACAGAAATGAGGCTGGTGTCGCTGGGGCAGTGTGAGGAGACAGATGAGCGGGAGTGGGGACCGGGCAGAGGGTGGGCTTGGGCACTCAGTGAGGCCGGGCCATGAACATCTGTGGGAAGGTATTTGCATAGCGGGAAGCCTTTGGAGGGTCAAGAAAGCCTTTGGAGGAATCAAGAAAGCAATGTGATCTAATTTATCTCTTTAAGAGGTGGCTTTGGCTGCTGTGTGGAGACTCAAATATTGGTGAAACGGATTGCAGAGAGGGATGGCGGAGGCTGGGCGGGACGAGGACCCCCAGTGGAAAGTGGTGGACCATGCTTCTCCCTGGCAGACCAGGACAGCAGCAAAAGTGAAAGTCCGAGCAAAGACATGACTTGTGCAACCAGCCTGGCAGTAGGTGTCACAAAAGCCGAAGCCTCACACCTCACAGCTCATCGGAAGCAGAATCTGAGCTCTTTCCCTGACATTGTAGAAATGTCACCACCACCATCTTGCCATGGAGCAGTATCCACTGACATTAATATTTTTCTTCTAAGCGATGAGAATTTATACTTTGGGGGGAGGAGCTATTGAGTGTAACTGCATACCTAGAGTTTATGAGGTCAAACTGGATTTCTGTATAGAGCAGGGTTAGATAAACTTTATCTGTGAAGGAGCAGCTAGTAAATATTTTCATTTTTGTGGACCCTGTTGTCTGTTTCTTGTCAGAACTGCTCAACTCTGGCATTATAATTTGAAAGCAACCGTAGACCATGAATAAAAAATGGGTGTGGCTCTGTTCCAATAAAACTTTATGTGCAAAAACAGGCAGTGAGCCACATTTGGCCCATGGATTGTAGTTTGACAACTCTGGTAGAAAATAGTGTTTACTTACATGACCCAGATAATTTTATTCCTATAAACCAATTCAAGACATTTTCCCCAAACTCTTTTGTGAAACTAGGGTGCATCTTGCACACCTGTGCTTATCTTAACACTAGAGAATATGACGTAATTTAATGAAGACTTAGTCCAGTGGTTTTCAAATCTTAGTGATTCCTGGGAGGTAACTCAAGGAACCAGGGCGATAGTGAGGGTGGAGGGCTTTTGACCCCCAGTTTCAAGCAGGAGAACCTCTTGGATCCATGTTTTTCTAATTAGTGGTTTTCATGAAAGTTTGTCTGGAAAAAAGGGGCTGGGGGCTAGGAAAAAAATAGAAAACCAGTAATGCAGCCCAGCTGGTGGAGAGCATGTCCCCCTTCTGGTGTCATGTGTTAAAGAGGCATTTATTACATAATGGCACGTGGAACAAAAATTGACACATAAATGTTCTAAGTGGATAGAAAGAGGTCAGGAAAGAGTTGCTTTGGGGTTATATTTGCGGAGTAGAGCATGTTCAGGGAACACAGACCAAGGGTCTTATGCAGATTTAGGCTTCAGACAAAGGCCACTGTGTCTACTTTCAAAGCCTTTTAGGGTGGGGGATCCTGGGTGGCTCAGTTGGTTAAGCATAAGTCTTCAGCTCAGGTCTTGATCTCACAGTCTGTGGGTTCAAGTCCCAAGTTGGGCTCTATGCTGATGGTGCAAAGCCTGCTTAGGATTCTCTCTCTCCCTCTCTGTCTCTCTGTCTCTCTCTCCCTCCCTCCTCCTCTTGCCCTCTCTCTACCCCTGCCCCACTCATGCTCTCTCTCTCTCTCTCTCTCTCTCTCTCTAAATAGTTAAAAATAAAGCCTTTTAGGGTGGAGTCAGCAGGTTGGCATATGGAAGTCTTGGGGAGGCAGAATGATAGAGTGGCTTGGACTTTATATTCAGATACAGTTAGGTTTGAACCTCTGCTCTGTCACTTAGTGGCTCGACAAGCTATTTCTTTTTTTTTTAATTTCTTTATGTTTATTTTTGAGAGAGCAAGAAGAGCACAGATGGGGAAGGGGCAGAGAGAGAGGGAGACACAGAATCTGAAACAGGCTCCAGGCTCTGAGCTGTCAGCACAGAGCCCGATTCGAGACTCGAACCCATGAACCGTGAGATCATGACCTGAGCCAAAGTCAGGTGCTTAACTGATTGAGCCACCCAGGAGCTCCTCAACAAGCTATTTCTTTAACTCTCTTGTTATGCATTTTCCCAGATGGAAAACTGGAATGATATTACTTCCCTTTTCAAGCTGTTGAGTAGATTAAGTGAATTAACCTATGCAAATTTCCTAGCACATTGCCAGGTGCTTGAGAAAGTAATTTCCTTCTCCATTCTGTTCTCAGGGGTGTGGGATGAGCACAAAGGCTCTTTGAGACCTTCTGCCATCTCTTTCCTGTTTATTCCAATTTCCATGCCCCAATCTTCTCTTCCCAGGATGTGGCCAGGTTCTGCGAGCCTCAAAGGGTCAGATTTTGTTGGAGAGCTACCCTCTAAATGCTCACTGTGAATGGACCATTCATGCCAAACCTGGGTTCATCATCCAGCTAAGGTAAGGGAAGGGGCTGGGATCAGAATTAGGGAGTTTGAGGTTATACGGAAACACAGTAAGAGGACTGAGTGCCCTGGATCCTAGTGACCAAAGGCTAACCATCAGAAAATTCAGAAAATGTACCTTATTCAGAAAATGTACAATGGAGCCTTTTGTTTGTTTGTTTGTTTGTTTGTTTGTTTGTTTGTTTTTAAACGTCTTGGCAATTCCATGGAATAAACCTGGTCAAAACTACGACCAATGAAATGTTTGTCATTCACTGCCCTAGAACAGGGGTTGCTTAGGTAATTTTGAACCAAGGATAACACCAACAAAACAGAATACTGATAGCAGTCTACCCATCTACAAATCTTTACCAAGTCTTCCTGTTCACCCAGTACTGGGCTGGGTTCTATGGGAGGAAAGTGAAAAAATTAAAAGGCACGGATCCAACCTTCAAGGAATTTATGCTCATCAGCTCCTTTCGTTGATGTCCTCAGAAAACAACAACCACATCTGTAACAAATAAACCAATTTTTTTCACTTGCATGGAAGATAAGTCATCTCTTCTTATGAAGCTTTGGGGTCCTCACAAATATGCAATTTATGCCATAGCACAAAGTGTAGATCCAGTCTTGTTGTAACTGTAGATAAATAACACAAGAGAGAACTGTTCACTGCTGCATCCTAGTGCTGGGAACAGTATGCAGTACACATCATAGGTGCTTGATAGATACTTGTTGCATGAATGAACGTTGAAAGAACTTCTCCCTGCCTCCAGTGTATCTCCTTTTTCCTGGCAAACACCTCTCCTTTAACTCTCTAGGGAATCAGAGTGACCCACTCACCCCTAGGATTTCTAGGGATATTGTCCACTTAGCTCTTCCTTTTCTAACCAGGGGGGGAGGTTGGCAGTAATGGAAATTTCTAATCTTCTAGGGCATGGGTTTTCAATAAGTATTTTCTGGATGGATCAGTGGAAGTTTCCACATTCCAGCTGGCTCCTCAAATGACTTTCTATCCTCTAGGAGGATACCTCCTCTAGGAGGCAGGTACCGCATGGTACCCTGCCCAGGAAGGATCCAGCAAAACAGGTCCCCTTCTCAGTTCTCCTCATCAAGGCTGGCCCTCAGTGGCTGGTCTCCCCATTCCTGTAGGATCTGGGGTTGGGAGTGAGTCTCATCAATTGGACTTTTCTAGAGGAAGGTTAGCACAAGGAACATCTGAAGGCCCACACCCTTCTGCTTAAGGTGCTTCAGGTGGGGTCTGCCAGAGATGGTGAGGGGAGGTGTTAAATGCTGCATATTATTTCAGCACCTCAGGGACCAGGCCAGATGGTCCCCTTAAAGGGTCCCCTTAAAGGAGGAGCTTCTCCAAGACCCAGGATATAAAGGAAATCTGCCCCCAAGCAAAAACCCAAAATGGTGGAGGGATTGGAGAAGCACATCACCTGCCTGGGAACGCCCCTAGGGAGGCCTGCAAATAGGTAGATTTCTTTCCTTCTGGTCAAATCTGGACCTGCTGCCCAGTGATAATAATAATAATAGGAAACACTGATGCATATGTACAGTGTTCAGACCAAAAGCCAAGCGGTCATCCCTGATGCCCCTCTTTCTATCACCTACCACAGCCAGACCACCACAAAATCTATTTTATTACCTGTAAAATAATCTCAAATCCATCCGCATCTGACTCAAGTGCCGCTATTCCACGTTATGCCACCACAATCTCACCTCAGTTCTCTCATGGCTTCCTAACTGGCTCATGTTTTCACTCTTGTCAGCTCTGCTCCTTTCTCTCCTCAGTGACAAGAGTGACCCTTTAAAATCCTAAGTCCAGTTCTGTTGTCGAAACCGGTTTTTTTCCTATGAGGCTTGGAATCAAATCTGGATTCAGGATGCTGGATCTGGATCCTGCTCTCCTCCTTAGTTCATTCCAGTCTCCTCTTTACACTCCATCACGCAGCATCCCTGACCTTCTTTCAGTTCCTCAAATGCACCAAACTCATTACTGCTTCAGGGCCTTTGCACTTGCAGAGCCCCCTGCCTGGGCCTCTCTTCCCCATGACCTTCACATGACTGGCTCTGTTTCATCATGTAAGTGTCTGCCCAGATATCAAGTTCAGAGAGGTCTTCCTTGACCACATTGCATAAAAAGCTTACCCTCCCCAGTCACTCTTCATGCTCTTACCCAGTTTATTTTATTCACAGTGCTTAATACTCTATGAGATTACCTTGTATTCTGGTTTCCTTGCTTATTATTTGTTCACCAAATCAGAACTACTCTCCATTAGGGCAGGCACTAGTTGGGTATATTTAGTTGGGTCACTGCTGTGCTTTCAGCACCTAGAACAGCGCCAGCCACAGAGCAGGCCTGCCACAGATAGATGTTAAGTACATGAATGAACGAGGGTATGAACATAAATACAACTTGGACTGTCTCATATTTTGGTCTCAGAAAAAGCTGTGGTCTCTTTTGGATGGTGGCCTTGTCCCTCCTCCTTCCCTTTTCAGACAGAGTTACTAAAGTCTGGAGAAAGAACTCATCTGTCAAGGCCCACTGTGACCTAGCAGTGGCATCTGGATGAGAAGTCAGGTCCTTAGACATTAGACCACGTTTCACAAAGCATGATTAATGGCCCTTACAGTCCTTTACAAAAAGTTTTGTGATTAAAAACTTTGTAAAACAAACACTAGCCATACGTAGTTAGAGGGCTTCTTTTCCGTAAGATCCTTAGGTGCATTTAAAATATACTGATTCACTATGTTCTAGTGTTCTCTAATCCTGACTATTGAACATTTCACCCCAAGTGGTAGAAATAGACCCTTGTCCCAGCTTTTCAGGTGGCAGTTGTGCACTCTTCTGTCTTTTCCTGCTTCTTCTCCAAAACTCGAAGGAGAAGATAAAGATGTATATTCTGTGAACTCAGTACCCAGGCATTCCCTTGGGAATATTTTGAAAAATGGCTTTTCCTCTCTTGCTCTGGGATGTGGCTGCCTCCTGTCTTGTCTGTTGGTAGTGGAAGCTTGCGTTCATCTTCTGCTTTTTTTTTTTTTTTTAACGTTTATTTATTTTTTTTGGGACAGAGAGAGACAGAGCTTGAACGGGGGAGGGGCAGAGAGAGGGAGACACAGAATCGGAAACAGGCTCCAGGCTCCGAGCCATCAGCCCAGAGCCTGACGCGGGGCTCGAACTCACGGACCGCGAGATCGTGACCTGGCTGAAGTCGGCCGCTTAACTGACTGCGCCACCCAGGCGCCCCCATCTTCTGCTTTTTTGATCTGATGTATTCCAGTATTTCCAAACCTGAGACCCTTTTAGGCAAACACACGTTTATCAGATCTCCCCCATTTCTGAAATTCAGATATAGTGCTACCTTTTCTACTCTTTGGGGTAAGAATTATTGCTACCCAGACGATAATTACCTTCATATCCTTCCATTAAAATAGAAGAATGTGCAGGGATTTTGTTCTTTTATTGAGTTTTGCAAGGCAATGTATACTTTTTCCATTCTTCAGTTGTAAAATTATACTATAGTATCTATTCAACCATATCTTCATCAATATTTGCTTGGCATCTCTATATGCCAGGCACTGTGTTAGGCACAATCAAAACATTGATGGAATAAGACAGATGTTCTCTCCTACACTCAAGAAATTTGCAGTCTAGTGGAGAAGATAGGGATTCATGCATGTGAACGCGCGCGCGCACACACACACACACACACACACAATCAAGAAGATAAATTTGAGGAGTTAAAATTAGTATCCTCACTATGAAGAGAACAGAGGATCTCCTTTAGAAAGAGTTGTCAGGGAAGCGTCTTTGAGGAGAGAATATTTAAGGTGAGGCCTGAGGATAGGAAGGAACCAGCCAGGCAGAATGGGTGGAAAAGTACCCCTGTAAGAGAGGCCAGCTATGTGCAGAGATTCTCTGAATGGAATAGGTACTCCCTCTGTCTGGGCATGCACATACACATGGGGACAGCAGACGTATACATGCCCCTCTGTTAAAAGAAATTCATCTCATCTCACATTGTCCAGGACCCTTTTTCTATCAGATCAGGCCAGTGGTACCACCCTTCTGAGATCTGTTCATCATCTGGTCTGGAACTTGCTCAGGGGTCTCAGGAGTCTCAGGATGGTCAGGGTCCATCTGTTTTGTGCTGTCACTCTCTCCACCCACAGGTTCATCATGTTGAGTCTGGAGTTCGACTACATGTGCCAGTATGACTATGTTGAGGTCCGTGACGGGGACAGCAGCAATGGCCGGATCATCAAACGCTTCTGTGGCAATGAGCGGCCAGCTCCTATCCGGAGCACAGACTCTTCGCTCCACATCCTCTTCCATTCAGATGGCTCCAAGAATTTTGATGGCTTCCATGCTGTATTTGAGGAGATCACAGGTAAAGGCCGTGGAGACAAGTGTAGCATCTTGTGGCTATGCTCCAGACGAACATCTCCTTTCTGTGCACGTCTCCTTCTCCCTGCTCAGCCTTATTAAAACCCAGTGGGCTGAGTTCTCAGAAGCAACCTACACATCGAGAAGGAAGAAAGAAATGGTGAGGTATATTTCACAGATGTTCACCAGAAGCATAGCTAGGAATTATGGACGCCCTCGTATGCTGGAGCAGGGAGAGGGTAGGTAATTTGTCCAAGGTCACAAAGCGGTTGGCTCTATGGATCACACTGGGGGGAATCTCATGGTTAAGAGCATTAGCTTTGGAGCTCTGGCAGATTAAGCCGTGTGACCTGGGGTAAATTCTACTTCTCTGGGCCTCAGTTTCCTAATCAGCACATAAGGGAATATGCCTAGATCCTGCTCCATTAAGGAGGCTCTGGGAGATGGAGTGGACGAAGAATGTAGCCCAGTGTCTGGTACATAGGATGCACTCAATAGCTGCCCAACCCTAGGCCTGCCCTGAGCCTCCCTCTATTATCTGCAAGATAGGCATCAAAAGTGTTTAACTCAGTGGTGAGGGCCACTTACTTTGTGAGCAACTCTGAGCTTGACTTTAACTCCTGCCCTATTCATATCAGGAAGTAGGATTTGACCAAAATGAGCAAAACGCTCCATTCTAAGGAAACCCCCTCAGCTCTCACTGTTCTGAGATTGAATTGCATCAGGTTTTACAAACTAAGGCCAGGCTTAAAGTTCTGGGGTTTTTTAAGTACCCAATTAGGCATTGTTGTGGCATTTTGATCGCTGTGGCTTCCTACGGAAGGTATGATACGAAAGACTCAGGAAGAGTGATGGTGGCAGTGGGATCATCCTTCTGCAGCCTTGTCCTTTTGGTGAGACTGGGAGACCACCCCCCCCCCCCCCCCCCCCCCCCCCCCCCGCCCACCTGCCCATCCCTTGGAATGTCTCCACGTGAGCTCTCAGCAGCTGCGGCTCCCCTGTGTGCCCGCTGCCTTCACAGAGGATGTCCCCTGTAGAGCTGTGCGGGCCTGGGGGTTCTGGAAGTGTGCTTCTGTGGTGTGGTGTGGTCAGCCTCCGGCTGATCCACCCCCTTGGTGGCTGGCCGAGGCTGGGCAGGGGGTGGAGGGGTCACACTTGAGATACTTGTGTGGGTACTCGTGACAGACAGCAGGGCTGGCTGTCGGGGAAGCCAGGTAGAAGCAGTGGCAGCTTGCCAGCTTGTGACCCTGTGACTAAGGGGAGGGCCAGGAGGGTCTTTTCCCCCTCCGAAGTGGACTCCTCTGCCCCCTCTGGAGAATTTGGGAAATGCTGGTCTGCGTCGTCAAGTGGAGAGTAGCACTCGTGGCTTCTCACACACCCTGTTTGCATGTGTGTACTTGAATTTTCTCCTCAGGCTGATGTCACCTCCTCCACACCTGTGCATCAAATTCCAGCCTTCAGGGTTTGTCTCCCATTCATCCTCCTCTGCTGAACCTTCTCTCTTGGTCCAACGGGTTGTGACTTTGCCCTATTTTGAACGTCTTACAACACTCTCTCCCCTTTCCCAACGCTAAGTGAATTACGCTTCAGGTGATAGTCGTATATTTTTTGTCAAAAAGCCCTGATTTGGTAAACACGTGTCCTGTTCATCTTTCTGTCTCTCCAGTTGCCTCACACAGAGCAAGCACTCAGTTTGGGCTTGTGGAACCGGACCCAGCGATCTATTTCCATGCCAGGGTAAATGAATGGAGGGTTAGTGGTTAGGACACAGACCTCTGTTTCCCAAAGTATTCTCTGCAGAAGAATAGTTCCCTGTAAAATGTAGGTTCTGAGGCCAGATAAGCTTGGGAAAGGCCAGACATGATGTGCCTTCTTAGATATCTGCAGTGCACATTAGGACATGGAACATTCTGAGAAGTTCTGCAGTAAAGAAATCTGGTTCGTTGCCATTTAATACCAGTAGCACTTGCCCACCATATTTGAGCTTAGAACCCTTTCTTAGTTGAACGTATCAACATCTCAAGAGACTAATGTTTACAGAATGTATGTTAGGAAATTCTCAAGTACGCTTTTGACAGTGTCATGGAGATCTTCCAGTTCCTTCCCCTAGTACCCAGGACCCTGAGCTTTCTTAAAAAAAAAAAAAAAAAAAAAAAAAAAGGATCTAAAGCTGCCTGAGGACGCCTGTCTCCCCTGGAGTCTTTATGGGAGGGGTAAAGGCATGCTTCCACTTTAATCCTGTGGTGTGCCTGTTTATGTTGGCTTTAGGCTTTTCAGACCATAGAAGCATACTTCTGGGGCCTTTGAAAATAGCAAATAACATCAGATAAGCACCGATTTTAGGCATTCTCAAGTGACGGTAATGTGGATCCAGTAAAAGAAGTAAAAATATTGCACGAAGACTGCAAAAGGCAAGTGAAAGACCCTGGTCGAGGCTCCAGGTTTGAGGAAATTGACTCACCGCAGTGACGCTGAGGGAAATTGCCTTTTCTCTTACAGCATGTTCCTCTTCTCCCTGTTTCCATGATGGCACTTGCCTCCTTGACAAAACCGGATCTTACAAATGTGCCTGCCTGGCAGGCTACACCGGGCAGCACTGTGAAAATCGTGAGTATGCTTCTGGAGTGAGGGTTGAGGAGTCACATGGGGCTGGCATGAAGAAGGCTCTGGGAGCTTATGAAGTATGTTGTTTCTTGGTGTTTAGGACGGTGTGTCCAGGGTGGCACATAATGTGGACATTCCCGTCGAGTGGTTCTCGGGGCTGGGCTGCCTCTGAGTCAGGATATTTGGAACCACTTAGGTCTTCCCGTTGACATTTCCACATCTCCCCCGCTGCATATAGTTCTCAAAAAGATATGCCTTCAAGGGCTTGAATAATATTCAGAGCTCAAAAACACGGAAGAAGTGCCAACAGGAGAAAGCCACCATCATAAAATCTCCTGTGGCTCTCAGTCTGAACTCCCTGTCCTTTGCAAGATCTGAATTTTGGAGTTGTGCCCCAGGGAAGCATCTATAGATTCCAGTATGTTGTTGCATGGTCTGAAGCCATCAGCAGAGTGGAACTCAACATCTTGGCCAGCAATCATTTATCAAGGGTCACTGGTCACCAAGCCTTGTGTATGACATGTGTCGCAACCAAAGTTTGAGACCTGAAACAGGTGTCATGGACTGCAACTATCAGCATAGAATGAGATGCGCACAAGAATAAGAAGAATCAAAATTTGGGGAGGGGGGCAGGGGGAGGAAGCAAAGGAGGGCAGATAATGGCATAGGCAGGGGTTCCCCCCAGCAGATCCTGTGTGGTGAGTATGAGTCAGGAGATGTATTAGGACGTGCTCCCAGAGAAGCTGGCAAGGGAGCGGGGAAGCTGGACTGGGAAGGGAGGGAAGCCAAGCAAAGGTGTGATTTTAGGCAAAATCCAGCCTCAGTGGAATCTGGAATGTAATTTATACCTCTGCATGTATCCTGGCTTTATAGCAAGGAGCTGGGCTTCCGTATCCCCCTTGCAATCAGCCATTGACCCAGGGCTGCCCTGGATGAGCGGGAGAACATGACTGGCATTCTGTGTATGTGGGATGAGTGGTTCCAGTAGCCCTTGAATAGTCAAGGAGATCTCAGGTGCAGGCCAATGGAAGCAAAACCATATAGACTAGCATGCACGGGTACTTTGGGGTCGTCCTATAAGGTGCCTGGTCTGATGGCATTCTATAAAGTTCAGACATTTTCCAGTCAATTTCATCAGTCGTCCTTATCAACAAGGCAGACGGAAGCCGTGGCGTCAATAGTGTACCCTTGAGTGTGTCATTGCATGGTGCTGAAACCATCCCTTGATTTGGCTTGGCACGGCTGACCTGAGCATGGTTATGCTGGGGGCTTAGAAAAAGATGTTCTGCTTCATGGCTCCTGCCTCGTTGGAACCTGCTGTGTTGTGTGCAGGGCAGGGAAGAGAAATGCTGCTTTCTCTTTGTTTTGAAATTGCATGTAGAGAGTGAATCTGGAATCTTGACAGTGGCAGATCCTGAGCTTTAAAGGGTTCAATTCAGAGCGAGAAACAAGAAAAGGGGGGAAGGCTTAATTTCTTGATGAACTAATTACACAATACTAGAGCTTTGAAAAACAAGGTAAAATTGGAGAGAAGTGAAGTATTATTGAAGAAGCCAAAATGCATTAAGAAGCTGGGTCAGGGGTGCCTGGGTGGTGCAGTCGGTTAAGCGTCCGACTTCAGCCAGGTCACGATCTCCCGGTCCGTGAGTTCGAGCCCCGCGTCAGGCTCTGGGCTGATGGCTCAGACCCTGGAGCCTGTTTCTGATTCTGTGTCTCCCTCTCTCTCTGCCCCTCCCCTGTTCATGCTCTGTCTCTCTCTGTCCCCCCCAAAAAAAATAAATAAACGTTGAAAAAAATTAAAAAAAAAAAAAAAGAAGCTGGGTCAAATCAGGGCACAGTGAGGATTTGGGGGCGGGGGGAGGGAAGGGTAGAAATTGATCAAAAGTTGTGACTAAAATATTTATGAGTTGCTTATGAGTCAAACATTGACTTTTCAGCCTTTCCATTTTGTCCAGAACACAAAGCAAAACAAAACAAATACATATGAGAAAGAATGGAAACTATGTCATTACACACTGATTCATATCTTGAGTCACAAACTGGCTCAAATCACATCTGATCTCAAAACACCAGCATAGATGCACAAGAGAATTCTTCCTAGCTACTTTTTAAAATGTCCTTAAAAAACCATAGTTCCCTTCATACCTTGTAGTTGTAACTGGGTGAAGGTACTGGGTATTGGTGGTGGGTATCTGATACATCATTTGCTGGCATTCATGTGGGGGACCAAATGTTTTATTATTTTTTTTAAATAAGATTTAGGTTTGTTTTTCCTTCTAGGAAATTCAGCAGGAGTCCCCACTAACTAAATGAGGGGAACGTCACAAAAATTAGCTGTGACAGTTTACCTTGTAATTTCTGAACAAACCATAGCAGATTTCTAGAATAGCCTATTAGTTAGAAAAACCAAGAAGGAAAAAAAAAAAAGATTTACGTTATTGTTTTCCTCCTGAGTATACCACTGAACTGGAATAATCTCCCTGGAGGAAATTCCTTCAAAATGAACAAGAAACTCAAGCATTCTGGGATTCTTTGTACATTTTGAAATGCCTAAATTGGAGTAGACATTTGTTTTACAAAATAGCTTTAAAAGCACCGAGTCAAATATTAATGAGAATTCCATCTTTTATTTATGTAGTACCAAATCTGATGAAGGGCAACCACATCATAGATGCTGCTTTAATGGTCTGCCCTCCTGAAGGCTTTGTGAAAAGGTGGATGCCCCTTTTAACAGATGAAGGATTTGAAGCAGAGAGCGCGAGGCACTGAAATTCAAAACGAGACGCTAGAATGCCACATTTCCCATGTTGGTCACGGTCTCCCAGACATGGTTCTCGCCATGTGGCTCAGTGGAACTGTGGGTGAACAATTGATAAGCTGTGGTCATGGCCTCATGGTCCATTATGTATTCCTCTCAAAGGACTTACCTTCCCAGGTAAGCTCTGCCTGTCACTCTTTTCTAAAGAGCATCCTGACTCCCTGTCTCTCGATAGAAGCTATTCTCATTCTTTTCTTTGTGTATATTTAAGAATGTGAGTGGGACTGGAATAGAAATAGATTTTATACTGACTTACAGAAGAAATATGTGCCTATAAAAATAATCAAATAGTCCAGAGGTGTTTAAAATAAAGAGAACATGACTTTCCCTAACCGACCCTAGTAGACTGTTACTATGGTCCTTCTGGACTTTTTGCTATAATGTACAAACCTAAGTTGTTGAGAAACCAGTATTTTAAACCAGTGATTCTCAGTTGGGGATGAGTTTGCCCCCAACTTCCACCCTCGGGGGTGTTTGGCAACCTCTAGAAACATTGTTGGTTGTCATCATGGGCGGGGGTGGGACGGGGGGGATGTCACGGGCTTCTAGTGGGTGGAGGCCAAGGATGCCACTAAATATCCTACAACGCATGGACCCAGACCACAGAGTTATCTGGCCCAAATGTCAGTCATGCCAAGGTTAAGAAGGCCTGTTTCAAACAAAAGTTTGTTTTCAGTGTGCTGTTTTCAGTGCCTGTATCATGGGTATTTTTTCCAGGCCACTCCATGTTGGTCTACCTCATTAAAAAAAAGGGGGGGGGTGATTTTCTGTGTATTCCATCATAGGGATATATATACAATTGTATTCATCTAATCCCTTAAGATGGACTTGATGCCGTATTTTAAAATTTTTTTTTTTCAACGTTTATTTATCTTTGGGATAGAGAGAGACAGAGCATGAACGGGGGAGGGGCAGAGAGAGAGGGAGACACAGAATGGGAAACAGGCTCCAGGCTCTGAGCCATCAGCCCAGAGCCTGACGCGGGGCTCGAACTCACGGACCGCGAGATCGTGACCTGGCTGAAGTCGGACGCTTAACTGACTGCGCCACCCAGGCGCCCCTTGATGCCGTATTTAATGTATTATTATAAAGAGAGCTTCAGTGAATATCCTAACATCTACCTGGTTGGTTCATATGGAGAGGCATTTTTGTAAGATAAATTCCTAGATTGTCGAGCTGTTAGTTCAAAGGGCACACATATTTAAACTTGGGAGAGCTGTTGCTGAAACTGTCACTGAGAGGTTTCACCAGTTTACGAGATGAGCTGTTATAAACACCAGTCCTCGGATTAAGAATTAGAACTCGCATCTGAGAGACAAGGGTCTGCTCTTGTCAAGTTGCAAATGGATTTCTTCTCCGAGGGAGACAAGTGGGTCTGAGGGAAGATCTCATGGCCGGACTTCCTGGGGCTGTGAAGACAGAGGAGGAAGCAAGCACCCGCGCAGGCGGGCGCCTTCAGTTGTGGAGACGCTGTGAGAGCCCCCAGTGCAGTTGGACCATAGGTGCCGCCCCCTCGCCCCCAGGTGTCTCCTCAGACTGTTTCCCAAGGAGGAGCGGCTTTCCCCTGCTCTCGGGTGACCTCCTCTGAGAGCAAAACACGGGAGTGGCCCGCTCCTCAGCATTGGGGCCAAGCTAGCCTCCTGCCAGCACCCTCAGTGACCCCAACCTCCCTGGGCCACCGCGTAAGAAACTGCCCCCCCCCACCTCTTTTCCCTCTGAAGTTTCCTGTTTCTTTGTATGGGACACAAGGACAAACTAAGTTCTTGAGTAAATGGTGGGAATCTTGTTCTGTAAAAGTGAAGAGCGAGGGCTTCATTGCCCCGTTCCAGTTTCCATGTTGCCTTTGTTCCTCTGGCCCAGTTGCCGATGCCTGGGCTCTCCCCTGCATCCTAATGAAGGACGATGAAACGGGCTAAATCTTGGGGCACAATGCTCACACTGCGGGCTCTGACGCGCTTTGAACGAAACAAACCGGCTTCCACCAATTAAAGAAAACGGGGGAATCTGGATTCGTTTGGGGTTTGGAGCATCAGAAGGTTTCCCGCTAGCCTGTCCCAAGGACTGGGAAGAAAGAGCCCCAGATGAGAGGCACACTTTATACTTTAGCTTCAAAGGGGCAACCGCATTTCTCATCAGAATAAGTGATTGGGAACTTGGGGGTTTTCATGGAAACGGTAATGCTGAT